TCTGTCGTTAACTCTACCTGGGCGTGCCGGATTGATGAGGGGTGCTGTGTTGTACAGTAACGTGTGAGTCGCAGTGTTGGAAAGATTGGTGAGTTGGGTGGTTTTTTTATCATTACTGGACAGGTGCGACCAAAACACGCCGAAATACTTCAGTCTGAAGTGTGAAAACTCAGGCCCGGCTGGCGTCACGCTGACCGCCTACCTTGTGAAAGAGCTGTGGTTCATTTTCACCGCATCCAGAGTGAGGTGCCCTTCGTAGGGAAGCACGGGGGTCAGAAAAGCTCTTGGGAAGACGGAGAGCGGATTGCAGTCCAGTTCAGGATGGTCTTCAGCCGCGCCGGTGACCAGGGGTGGGTACGCGGTGACGGGGTTGGCGATGTACTCGGAAACAGTCTGTGTGTGCTCCGTCACCTCCACCACTATCTTCTTGTAGAGGTCGGGGAGCTGCTGCTCGTACAGGTCCCCGTCTGCTGTGCCGGCCAGAGCCTCGTACTCCGGCTCCTGCCCCAAACCGCTCTCCAGTGGCCAATGGCCCGTTCCCCCGTGGCCAGTGCTGCCGAAGAGGAGCTGGTCCCGGAGGACCGGAGGATCTGTCTTCATGAAAGCTTCCTCTACTTGGGTTGTTTCAGGCTCTTCGAAGCGGCCGGCGCTGAGCAGGAAGGGGCTGAAGGGTGAGCTCAGCTCTGCCTGCGGAGGGGGCAGTGGTAATTAATTATATGAACGAGATCCTGTGGCCTCCCACCCCCGGAATGCAGGTGTCCCTCTGCACGGCAGCTGATACTGCTGAGAATGACATCTCTGCCTTGTTCTGCTGTTAAACTTGCCTGATGGATAGAATCACAGGATGGTTTGGGGTGGAAGGGACCTTGAAGATCATTGAGGTCCAACCCCCCTGCCCTGGGCAGGGCCACCTCCCACCAGCCCAGGTTGCTCCAAGCCCCGTCCAACCTGGCCTTGAACACCTCCAGGGATGGGGCAGCCACAGCTCCTTGGGGCAACCTGCCCCAGGGGCTCACCACCCTTATGGTCAAGAGTTTCTGCTTAATATCTCGTCTAAATCTCCCCTCTTCCAGTTTGAAGCCATTCCCCCTCATCCTATCACTCCATGCCCTTGTCAAAAGTCCCTCTCCAGCTCTCCTGGAGCCCCTTTAGGTACTGGAAAGCTGCTGTAAGGTCTCCCCGGAGCCTTCTCTTGTCCAGGCTGGACACCCCCAACTCTCAGCATCCTCCAGTCTAAGATGATACAAGACCAGAGCTTATCCACTGTCGGAGACTGCTGGATTTGCCGCAGCAAGAGATGACTGACTCGCGTGGCTCCAGTCGCTTTTTCTGCTGAAGTTGGGTAGGATTAGAAGAAGAAAAAAGAAAAAAAGGTCGAACTTACCTTCGTAGACATGTAGTTCTTGGCCCACGTAGCGTTAGCTGGGTCTGGAATGGCTTTGCTTTGCCACTGCGGCATAAACGCAGAGAGGAGCGAGCGCAATCTGCAGATTGAATGAGTGCAGTTAGAATCATAGAATTGTCTTGGTTGGAAGAGACCCTTGGGGTCATCGAGTAATTCAAAGGGTGAACGGTGATCCCCGCGGTGCGGCGCTGCCCTGGGATGTGCCGTGTGTGCGCCGAGGAGCTCGGTGCCGTGGTGAACCTGCCTTGGGCAGAGCGGGGAGCGCGGCGGCGGAGGGCAGGGTGATGCCGCGCAGCATCCTCCTCCTGCCAGATGTTTGCCTGCGGTAACTAACAGCAGCCCTGTGGGGCAGAACTTGCTGGGTACGGCCGTGAGCCCAGAAAAATCTGCCAGGGGACGTCTCTGTGTGTGTGTGTGTGTGTTGCTCTAAAGAAAAACAATTTATAATCCTAGAGTTTAATTTTGCTCCCAGGCTAATCACCAAGGGTGGGACCCCTTCAGTTCCGTTTCGGCGGCAGCAGACCTTAAGCTCTAGGTTAAAAATTCACAATATCTATGAAACAAGGCTGTATTTTAAGCTCATCGCGTGTTCTTATTATCATTTGCGTACTCCGAAACCTGTGTTCAGAACGATCCTCGCCGTTCCCCAAGGTGTCCTGAAAGGATGTGACCGTCCCTTCTAACAACAATTCCGTGTTTTATGGGAACGTAACAGATGGATCCACTCACCCTTTTCTTACCGGAGGCACAGAACAAATGCAGGCTGAGAAGATGAAGAAGCTGCAGGTAAGCACAACAGTCATCCAGTCCCCAACACCTGAAATACGGAACACCCATCATTCGCCTTTATTTAGAAAAATATAATACTTAAATATGCTGGTTCAAATTGGACAACAGTCGTGGCCTGAGTAGCGTTTGCGCTCATACAACATACCAACATGTTGGTTTAAAATTGGGAATCTAGATGGATTGTTGGGGATAACAGGACTTTGGTAGACATCTTCATGTTGCAATGTCTCCTGAGGTATGTAGTCCACAACCCAAAACACGCAATATTGCCGATCTCTCTTCCAGTACTGAACCAAACATTTTTCAGAGGACGTTAGCTTGGGGTAGTGCACGCCGCAGAGAGGTGTTAAGTAGAAAAGGTCTTACAAAATTCACAGTGTCTTCAGAGCTGGGGAGGGACTTTTGACAAGGGCATGGAGTGATGGCACGAGGGGGAATGGCTTCAAACTGGAAGAGGGGAGATTGAGATGAGATATGAGGAAGAAATTGTTGGCTGTGCGGGTGGTGAGCCCCTGGGGCAGGTTGCCCCGAGAAGCTGTGGCTGCCCCATCCCTGGAGGTGTTCAAGGCCAGGTTGGACGGGGCTTGGAGCAACCTGGGCTGGTGGGAGGTGGCCCTGCCCAGGGCAGGGGGTGGGACTGGATGATCTTCCAGGTCCCTTCCAACCCAAACCATTCTATGATTCTATGAAACTAGAGATCTTCAGTAAATGAAGAAGAGCAGGAAAAGTGTTCCCAGTCTGTGAAGAACAGGGGGCCAAGGGCTAGGAGCTCTCCTGGCCCCCCGTCCTGGCAGAGACTCTTACTTTCCAAGCAGAGGAGCTCGCTGTTGCCCCAGGGTCCCTCTCCGGCAGCCGTGGAGGCTGTCATCCACAGGGCATAGTGCTCCCCGGGCTGCAGGTGGGCGACGTGCAGGGAGCGCGGGGCGCTCGCGTCGGAAACAGCTGGAGGGGAGAGAGGGAGAAGCAAATGAAGCAGCTGGCACAGGTTTTTACTGCATTTACCTCGAATGAACCGGGTTTCCAGAACTTGGGGCACGGAGAGGTGTCTTAACTTAAATTAACTTTGTTTTCCATGTTGCTGAATAGTTGTAGGAGACGTTATGCTCTAGGGGTGAGCGGCGCCGTTGTGCGGATGCGACACCCAGGACTGCGTAACCTGTCCTCTGGCTGCCGCTGCTGCTTGCTCCGGTAGTGTTTCGGTCTGAAGTGGGGTTTGTATGGTGGAATGATGAGACATCTAGTCCAAACTGTCATGCAATTTCTGCAAAAACTTGTTGTTTTTTTTTTTTTTTTTTTAAAAAAAAAAAAACGTTTCTTGGGTGGAAGCCCAGGAGTTAGGCAGACGGAGGGCGAGAGGGCTTGGGGGGGGGAGCAGCGGGGGGCTGCGGTGGGGGTGTTGGGCAGCGTTTTTAGAAGGGCGTTTATTTTCCCCTGCCGATAACTACGGGGGTCTGCAGCGGTTGCGACCTCAGAAAAGAACTAATATTAAAAAAAAAAAAAAAAGAAGCCAAAAGCGGGGGAGGAAATCTGGTAGTTCCACATTCAAAATAACTTGGTGTGATCTGGAAGCGCTGAGCAAGCGCTCCTGTTGACGGGCAGCCGTGGCAGCGAGGGGACGGGCTGAATCTCGCTGCTGAGGCCCCCCGGCGGACCGGGAGTCCCTCCCGACACGGAGCTTTCCGAAGGCATCTCTCTCTCCCACCCTCTGTCCTCCACGTGCGCCATCACGTTGTTCTTCGCCAGATACCCACCGTAGATGGTTGGAGCTTCCTCCCTCTCCTTCTTCTGCAGGTACACGCGGTACCCAGTGATGCAGCCCCTTTGGTGGTGGGCAGGGATTGCTTCCCATGAAACCAAGATGCCGTTTGCCCGCGGTGTTGTGTACACCTGGGGCCCCGCCGACGGTGCTGCAAAACATAAGACCGACTGTTAAAGCTGAGCTTAATCGGGCTTAAAAAAATACCTGGAAGGGTCTTAACTGTGGTTTACCTTCGGCTCTTGAGTATCCCCTAACTGATGCCGCTTGTCCAGCTCTGTCCCGATAGAGTGCGAACACGCTGATCTGATAGCACACGTTGTCTTTTATCTCCTCTAAAGAAAGAAATGAAAAGAAGTGGCTACTTACTAGTGAAAGGATTTACAGTCGCGGTTAAGGCATTTACATCAGCTGCTTAAATGGGAGATTAATCTTCTGATTATTAACACATTTTTCATAAAGAAGGAAAAAAAAATTGCTTCTCTGCCATCTCCTATTCTGCTTGGCGGAGCTTTACTGTGCGTTAAGCGAGTGATGTTCGCACTTGGAAAAGTGAAATCCTCTGTTTCCTGATGAAGCAGCAGCCGCTGGCAGCCCCGTGCCCTCCTGGGGACACCCACAGTGTGCTCCAGGAGAGAGCAGGAGGGGAGGAGCTGTTACCCAGCTCCTTGCTCTAAGCTGTGAGGCACAAGGTTTGGCTCTGCGTGAGGTCACTTAGGACACAGGAGAATCACAGAATGGTTTGGGTTGGAAGGGACCTTGAAGACCACCCAGTGCCACCCCCTGCCCTGGGCAGGGCCACCTCCCACCAGCCCAGGTTGCTCCAAGCCCCGTCCAACCTGGCCTTGAACACCTCCAGGGATGGGGCAGCCACAGCTTCTCGGGGCAACCTGCCCCAGGGGCTCGCCACCCGCACGGGGAAACATTTCCTCCTAATATCTCATCTAAATCTCCCCTCGTTTGGTTTAAAACTGTTCCCCCTCATCCCACGGCTCCCCTCCCTGATCCAGCGTCCCTCCCCAGCTCTCCTGGAGCCCCTTTAGGCACTGGAAGGGGCTCTGAGGTCTCCCCTTTTCCGCCTTCTCTTCTCCAGGCTGAACCCCCCCACCTCTCCCAGCCTGTCCTCCCAGCAGAGGGGCTCCAGCCCTCCCAGCATCTCCGGGGCCTCCTCTGGCCCCGCTCCAACAGCTCCGTCTCCTTCTGCTGGTGGGACCCCCCGAGCTGGAGGCAGCACTGCAGGGGGGTCTCCCCAGAGCAGAGCGCAGCAGAGGGGCACAGTCCCCCCTCGCCCTGCTGGCCACGCTGCTGGGGATGAACCTCACACCCTTTCTTCCCCCTGACTTCGTGCGAGCATCCTCCTCCGGGCTCTTCCTGCGGGTGCGGGAGGTTGGCAGGAACTCGTGTCTCCCCTTTCCAAAGCGGGGCACAAAGCGATGGTGCGAACACACCGCTTTTTCAGCTCGTTCGAGAGTGGGGCTGCAGCACCTCACGGGGACGGCACTGGGATGGAGAAGTGGCGCAGAGTCTAGTTGGAGGTTAGTAACAAGTGGTGTCCCTCAGGGGTCAGTACTGGGCCCAGTTTTGTTCAACATATTCATCAATGATCTGGATGAAGGGATAGAGTGTACCGTCAGCAAGTTTGCTGATGACACAAAACTGGGAGGAGTGGCTGACACGCCAGAAGGCTGTGCTGCCTTACAGCGTGACCTCGCCAGGCTGGAGAGTTGGGCAGAAAGAAACCTTATGAAGTTCAACAAGGGTAAGTGTAGGGTACTGCACCTGGGGAGGAATAACCCCATGCACCAGTACAGGTTGGGGGCTGACCTCCTGGAGAGCAGCTCTGTGGAGAGGGACCTGGGAGTCCTGGTGGACAACAGGATGACCATGAGCCAGCAATGTGCCCTGGCGGCCAAGAAGGCGAATGGCATCCTGGGGTGCATCAAGAAGAGTGTGGCCAGCAGGTCGAGGGAGGTCATCCTCCCCCTCTACTCTGCCCTGGTGAGACCGCATCTGGAGTACTGTGTCCAGTTCTGGGCTCCCCAGTTCAAGAAAGACAGGGAACTGCTGGAGAGGGTCCAGCAAAGGGCAACAAAGATGATTAGGGGACTGGAGCACCTTTCTTATGAGGAAAGGCTGAGGGACTTGGGTCTCTTTAGTCTAGAGAAAAGAAGATTGAGGGGGGATCTTATTAATACATACAAATACTTAATGGGAGGATGCCAGGGGGATGGGAGCAGTCTTTTTTCAGTGGCGCCCAGTGATAGGACGAGGGGTAATGGGCATAAACTTGAACATAGGAAGTTCCATCTTAACATGAGAAGGAACTTCTTTACTTTGAGGGTAGTGGAGCACTGGAACAGGCTGCCCAGAGAGGTGGTGGAGTCTCCCACTCTGGAGACATTCAAAACCCGCCTGGACGCTGTCCTTAACGTGCTGTAGGTGACCCTGCTCTGGCAGGAGGGGTGGACTAGATGATCTCCCGAGGTCCCTTCCAACCCTAACAATTCTGTGAATTCTGTGAAGAGGAAAGATGAAGGAGGGCGGCGCTCGCCGTCACCCCCGTTGTAACTTCGTGGCTGTGTGATGTGCAGAACACTGACACATAGTACTGGTTGGGATTAGTAAGCAACAATTAGTAGAAAGGAAGCAATCTTTTCTTAAGCCTTTGATCTCTTGAACCTCTTGCTGGCTTGTTTCATTTTGGAGGGACTTGTTTGGTTGGTTTTTTTTTTCAGAGACATTTAACTTACAAGATATAAATCTCAGCTGAGAGTGCCTGCATAACCGAGCCCAGAGCGGCCATCGATTATTTTTTTTTTCCCTCCTATACAGAAAGCTTTAAATGCCATCATTTCTTATGCTGAATTAGTAAAAACTAGAATCTGACTTGTTCCTTCAGAAACTTTCAAAAAGGTCCCTCGGGGACACCCGGCCTCGAGGTGGTGGTTACCTGTGATCACCGTGGACAGGTTGGACGCTGGCAGCTTCACCCAGGTTGGATGGGTCTCCGGGTGCGTGTCCCTCCCCGGCTCTGCCCACTCCACCACGTACCCGTTGGGTGATGCCACCGGGCTGCTGGGTGGTTTCCAGCTGACGAGGATGCTGCTGTTGCCCATGGCCATGGCAGACACCTTCTGAGGAGGAGGTAGATCTTACAGGGGAGAAAGACCAACCAGACAAAAAAGACACCGTCAGCACAAACTTGCCTTGACCTCTGGTGGGCTTCCTAAGTTTAATATGTGACTTTTGCTGTGTCTCATCCATTTTGGCATCATGGAACGGATAAGAATAAACTGCCATTGATAGGAAAGGTCTTTACAGAAGGGTGGTGTCTATGCCAATAGGAATAGAGCCACATTCTGGTCTTGTCCCCTGGTGCAGCAGTTTGGACACGCACAGCTTTGCTTGATCATACCGTCCCCAAGCCCTGAGAAGATGCTGTCGGCATGTACCAACACCCAGCTCCTGTGACAGAGCCACCAACAGGCATAATCTCCACAAGACCAAAGCTCTTGCTTTCACAGCTAGGGCCAGGTTACTTTTTCTTGCAGGAGAAAAAGTTGGGAAAGTCATCAAAATGTTCCTTGGTAGTATGAAAACACCACCATCTTTTCTGAATGTTTTTTTCTTACGAATCATAGGATCACAGAACGGTTTAGGTTGGAAGGGGCCCTGAAGATAATCGAGTTCCACCCCCTTTGCCCTGGGCAGGGCCACCTCCCACCAGCCCAGGTTGCTCCAAGCCCCGTCCAACCTGGCCTTGAACACCTCCAGGGATGGGGCAGCCACAGCTTCTCGGGGCAACCTGCCCCAGGGGCTCATCACCTTCACAGTCAACCATTTCTTCTGAATATCTCATCTAAATCTCCCCTCTTTCAGTGTAAAACTGTTCCCCCTTGTCCTATCCCTCCCCTCCCTGATGCAGAGTCCCTCCCCAGCTCTCCTGGAGCCCCTTTAGGCACTGGAAGGGGCTCTGAGGTCTCCCCTTTTCCGCCTTCTCTTCTCCAGGCTGAACCCCCCCAACTCCCCCAGCCTGTCCTCCCAGCAGAGGGGCTCCAGCCCTCCCAGCATCTCCGGGGTCCTCCTCTGGACTCGCTCCAACAGCTCCATGTCTTTCCTATGTTGGGGGCTCCAAAGCTGGACGCAAATGCCTACAAAGCAGTTCTTGTCCTTCAACTAATCAGATCCCAGCGCTATTTCTGCCTCAATCCTGCCTCTACCTAAGGAAGGGCTCACGTAACCAATGCAGCCCACAAGCTGAGGAGCTGCGCGTCTGCCTCCGAAGGAGGGGAGCATCCGGTTGATGTTTGAGGCAGCGCTGGGAAAAGGTGAAATACTTAGCAGTGGCTCTGTTGCTGTTTTGCTGACGTTGCAGAGCAAATAGAGAATAAACAGCCCAAACTGAGACCGCGAGGCTCCGTCGTGCCCGGTGCTGGCACAGGAAATTCGGGGCTGGGTGAGTTCAATCTCGTTAATTTTGCCGCGTGGGTACAACAGAGTGCAATTTCGCAGGAGATAAAGCTTTGTGTGACTTCCCCTCACCAGTACCTTCCCTTCGGTCCTGCCACCTCGCTCGTGAAAGAAAAAAAAAAACAACAAAAAACCCAAAACCTAAACCCACCCTTTATTTTTTAGTTTTTTGGCATGGTTAATTCTCTGCTGTGCCGGGCGCCTGGGTGGCCGGCGGCGTGCCTCACGCCTGTGTCGGCAGAAGGGGTTGAGGTGAAATTGCAGCAATACTAATACCGGGCAACTCGACCTGTTGTGAAACTGCACCTCTGACCACACTGAAAATTGGGCCCGCAGACCCCAGAAGGTTCACTGAGGTGGACCTCCATGAGCACAAAGGTGGTGGGACCCGAACGCTTCCATGGTGAACAGCGCGAAGCAGAGCACTGGTGTTATCCCCAGGGTGCCTTACCCTGGGTGCCCAGGCTGGTCACGATGGATGCAGGGGGGGACCTGCCCCTTGAGTTCTCGGCGGTGACCGTTATCTTGTAGCCCACCCTCGGCGTGACTCGGAGGTAGCTGGTGTGGTTGGTGAGCTGTGTTTGTGCTGGGGGGCTCCGCTGGTCCAGGGCTTCGAAGGTCACTGTGTACCACAGGATTCTTCCTCTCGCCTCCGACTTGCTCAAAGCCTGCGAGGAAAGAGCATTTGTTACTCTCTTCTTCGTCTGAGCATCTGGGGGTGCTGATTGATGAGAAGCTCAACACAAGCTGGCCATGTGTAATCGCAGCCCAGAAAGCCAACCGTATCCCGGGCTGCATCCCCAGCAGCGTGGCCAGCAGGGCGAGGGGGGACTGTGCCCCTCTGCTGCGCTCTGCTCTGGGGAGACCCCCCTGCAGTGCTGCCTCCAGCTCGGGGGGTCCCACCAGGGAGAGACATGGACCTGGTGGAGCGGGGCCAGAGGAGGCCCCGGAGATGCTGGGAGGGCTGGAGCCCCTCTGCTGGGAGGACAGGCTGGGAGAGTTGGGGGGGTTCAGCCTGGAGAAGAGAAGGCGAAAAAGGGGAGACCTCAGAGCCCCTTCCAGTGCCTAAAGGGGCTCCAGGAGAGCTGGGGAGGGACTCTTGACAAGGGCATGGAGTGATGGGATGAGGGGGAATGGCTTCAAACTGGAAGAGGACAGATTTAGATGAGATACGAGGAAGAAATTGTTGGCTGTGCGGGTGGTGATCCCCTGGGGCAGGTTGCCCCGAGAAGCTGTGGCTGCCCCATCCCTGGAGGTGTTCAAGGCCAGGTTGGACGGGGCTTGGAGCAACCTGGGCTGGTGGGAGGTGGCCCTGCCCAGGGCAAAGGGGTTGCAACTGGATGATCTTCACGGTCCCTTCCAACCCAAATCATCCTGTGATTCTATCGTGAACAAAGCCTGCAGAAAGGTGGTGGTACCAAGCTGGAGGTCCCAGCAGGCTGCCGAGGAAGGCTTCGGACTGGCTGATGGATGAAGCTGGTTTTGGCCATTTGTGAACCAAATATCACACCTTCTTTTAAATGAACCTATGACCATGAAAGGGATCTTCATGTCACAGCCACCAGCCTTCTGGAAGGAGGGTTTAGCACACTCCATGCGGATTGTCCACCCGGGCCGGGATGCCCGTGGAGCAGCAGCCCGGGCCCCTTCCCATGCCGGGCAGAGGTGGGAACCTTGCAGCCAGGGACGGCTTCAGAGCATCTCCCTGATGCTCAACCTGCCCATTAAGTGAGCGACTTTCACCCAGAGGTAATTTTTTCTCTTCCTTTTCTGTTCTAGTAGTAACGAGGTCACCTGTCGGACAACAGCACATACCAGCTGATGTTTTTTGGGAACCAATGATCAGTTTTTAATTTCTTCTCCTCTGAAAGCTGGAGGAAAGGAGGAGTGCTGCAGAGATTGCTCGCTCACTGGTTGAGACTGCTTTCTTCTGTAATAGTTTATCTTTTTTTTTTTTTATTTAAAATTAACTGAAGATCTGTTGGCCTGAAGTCCAGCTAATGCATTTCAAAGGTAGCACCATTTCCCATCAGTACCAACTTCAGATAGATTCCTAAGTGAACATGCGTTTTTATTGCTACAAATATAATGCTTTTTTTTCCAAAGGAATTTAGCGTCCTTGCTGCAGGATTTCCCTTTTCCACCATGATTTTGCGCATTTGTGTAAAACCCGTACCACGTAACAGCCTGCTCCGATTTTTCCCTTTGATTCTGCTGCTGTGACCAGTGCTCTCCATTCCCAAGCCTTATCCCAGCCCCATCACTGCTCTGCTCTCGGGAACGTGTGGCGTCCAGCCACACCAAATGCGTTAATTCCCTAATGGTAGGGCCAAGAGCATGCGTTTACCTGAGAGCCTCTCTTAAGTTTGCATATCTTTATTTCTTATTTATTTTTCTTGCTTAATTCCAGTTCAGTGAAGCTCTTTTGACGCGAGCTGCCGATTTTCCAAGCAGTGGAGTAGCTGGGGACAGGGAAACACGCAGCCTCCTCCTTCCTTGGGTCCGAATTCAAGCCATGCTTTCCACAAGGAGGGGGTGGGGGGAAGGTATTGACTGCACAGGTGGATGTGTAAAAAAGAGCAATTTTTAAGTAGGGGAAAATCCAGATTTTTTTGCTTAAAGCCACCATAAAGAATTATTTAAATTCAACCCCTCAGACGACACATCTCTGAGAAGTCAGTCTGTGCTGTCCCGTGTAACACCTCTCGCTGGTTTTTCCACCCCGGGTGTCTGCAGTTGTACTATCGCTTTCGGTTTCCTGCAGTTCCCATACAGTGAGTTCATTTTGGGTGGTTTTTTTTTTTTTTTTGGGTGGTAAGAAAACACAAAAAAAAAAAAAAAAGGAAGAGGGGGGGAAAAAAAACCTACTTTTAAAAACAGGAAAGTGTTGGCAGCTTTGCAATGGCTTTGGCTGCGGCGGGGGACAAGCGCGGCGCTGAAACCCCTCTGAAAGCCCGCGGGAATTAAATCGGTGCCCCTTCCTGCGGAATTAGCGTGGAAATATGAAAATGTGTGACGGTAGTACGTTGTACTGAGCCTGAGGCTTTTGCTTTGAAGCCGTCGTGAAAACTAAAAAAAGCGATGTATGGTTTTATGAATGATGCTGCAGGAAGTCGCCTTCCATACAGAAAGTGTCGCGATTGCGAGTTAAAGGGCTTCAAGTTAAATGTCTTAAAAGCCACAACGGCTGGAGGCACATACGCGCATGAGAATTTCTGCTTTCACTTAGAGCGCAGTGCTTGGTGGTGGGGGAGAAGATGGAGCAGCAATTAGAAGGTTACCGAGAGACGGAAAACTGGGAGTCAAAGACAATTCGTGCTTTAAAAATTGGATAATAATCTTACCAGCTTTGAAATAAAACCATCACAGCAAAACGCCCCACAATCCCAAAATCCCTCTCGGAGCTGGCTATTGGGCCGGCGATACTGGAGAAACTCAGCACCTGGCACCGGTAACAGGGTTTGGTTTCACTGGGAGCGTTGGGAGAGCAGACCTGGCGTAAGCCTTTTCCCCTGAGCTGGGTGGTAACGTGGAATTTTTACCCTACAGACGGGTTTTAATCTGAGTTCTGTTTGAAATTTCCCTTGCGGGGTCTCAGCCCCGGCTCACAGGAGGCGTTGCTCAGCAGACCCAAACCACCAAAGGTTTTCGACTCTCAGTTCGCCCAGTTTCAGGTCTGCAGCTTCACCGTTAGCAAACCCTTCTGCATGTGCTTTGCCCATCACCTGCTTCACACCTACAAAAAAACCCCTTTTCTTCCCGTGCTGCTGTACGACAAGAGCATCACCCGACTGTCCGCCCACACAGCGGGGACATGGGCAGGACCCTTCCAGTTGCCCAAACTACAGCCAACGCTTAAATTTTTGAGAGTTTGGTCACCTTAAAGGGCTATTACAAAAAATTGCCTCTTCTGCCTCCCCCATTCTTCATCGCTCTGTCCTTCATATAAGCAAAACAGAGCAGAGCCACCCCTGAAGGGCGCTCATATCCCAAAGCAGGCCCAGAAGGTGCGTGCATATGGCGAACATGGGGCATGGCGCCCTCCTGGCCTCCTAGAACTCCTGTCCTGACCACCTATGGCAACCATGGCAAAAAGCAACGAGGTGGAGAACCAGGAGAGGGAGATATTAATTAGGAAACAAATTAGGAAGTCTGTAAGGTTGTTACAGAGTCACAGAATGGTTTGGGTTGGAAGGGACTGTGAAGACCATCCAGTTCCACCCCCTGCCCTGGGCAGGGCCACCTCCCCCCAGCCCAGGTTGCTCCAAGCCCCGTCCAACCTGGCCTTGAACACCTCCAGGGATGGGGCAGCCACAGCTTCTCTGGGCAGCTTGTTCCAGTGCTGGAAGAACAATCTGTTGTTGTCTTTGGAGATATCACCAGGGACAGGTCACCTCATGGGAAGGGGGAGGGAAGGTGTATCTCTGAAAGGTGGTAACTGAGCCGTGAGACCTCCACTTCTCTTCGCTGCTGTGATGTGCTGGGAACCTGTTATACTTCCAGCATGACAGAAAGTTTGGGGAACTGTGAAAGGGAAATTGTAGGTAGAAAAGAGTTGATGAACCTCCCGGGGGAGATGAGCCTCGGGAAGCAGAGCTGGTCCATGTCCCTGTCACTGGGCACTGGTAAAGCCCTCGGCTCTCCTTGGGATCAGTCCTTTCCTGCGAACACAGAAACCAGAGTTCCCCCACATCTGCTCAGGTTTCACTTAAACAACTTACCTTCCAAAAAAGAGAGATGTTCTGCCTTTGGGAGTCCACGTCCTGCTGTCGGTACCAGACGTCCAGGAGCCCGGTGGGCACTGGTGTGGGAAGGAAAAGGGTGAGCGGCATTAATGGCCGTGTTTCGAAGCAAAGAGACAAGAGGTTGAACAGGAGAAGGAGGTAAAAATCCTGAGACAATGAGAATTTAAGATTTAAGAAGCCTGTTAAACGGTGCGATATGTAATTGCCTGTATTCGCTGGTGTAGCTGGAGTTCGGCTGCATTGGTGATGGTGCTTATGGAGAGAACAAGCCACCCACCCGAGAGAGGGTTTTTTCCTGCTGGGGACTTTATCCTGCCCTCGGGAATGGGGATGGCTCCCGAGGAAGCCTCCACTGCAAAGCGGCAGTACGAGCTCTCCTCTTTCATGAAAGTTGAGGCTAATTGAGGTCCTTGGGGTTGGCTACATTAATCCTAAAATGATGGGCAGCCTCAGGCGATGGGGTTTGTCGGATCTGTAGGATTTCGCTGTCTGGCTCTGACTAATAAATGTCTGTAACAGCTAGCTGGGTAGGAGCTCGTCAGAGGTAGCTTAAAACCCCTGTTCTTTCCCCGATTCTCCTTCCAGTCACAGAGTGACTGGAAACCCTTGATGTTTTAAATAAACCTTCCGAAAATAACATTAAAGCAAACTTCTGGCTGCAGAAACGGGCGAACCATGTGCTCCAACCGTGCAGAATCAGAGAGACGTGAAGAAAGCCGATGCGACAAAAGGTAACAAAGCTTGGTTCCTCAAGGTCTCTGACCAAAATAAACCCATCAAATTCAAATAATAATTGCTACTAATAACCTGAGCGGCAGGCAGCCGTTGGGCGACCCCAGCTAGAACGGGGCTGCCTGCTGTTTGCCAAGTTCAAAGACAGAAAAAAAACCCCTCGGTGCCGGCAATGTTAAGAGCTATTTGTCCTCTATTAATTGCAAATAACGACTGAAATAGAAACAAGAAGCAGGACCGACAGAAGAAATAAAACCAGGACGCACTCACTGTGAGCCAGGGAGGAAGGGGCGAGCTCAAAGCAGGAAAAAATAAAATATGGGATTGCATCTGTTGGACTGCAGCCCGGATTTTAAAGTTCATTTCACACGTGAACCACACGAATTAGCTGAGGAGGGTGGGGGGTGGGGGTGGAAAAATCTGCTCACTTACCAACAGTGCTTGCATAAAGCAAGTTTTGTGGCAGAAAAAATAACTGTTCTTACTGAAAAGGTACACTCCTGAATTTGCAAAAGGCCAAACTCCCGTGTGGAACTTCAGCTCCTTCAAAGAAGGGCAACCATGGTGTACCCAGAGCTTCTCGTCACCCAGTCTGGGGACAGAAGACGCCCCTTGGTTGGCTGAGAAGATTGGCATTTAATTGCAGCGGCTGGGTAGAGGGGTGACGACCACAAAGGCCGTAGCAAGGCAGGGTGCAGCGAGAAGGTTGAGAAAACTGTTGAGAGGAAGGTGGGGGAGGGAAGGAAAAGTTCACACCCTTTGCATCAATCAATGCTTCTTACAGAAACTGATGCTGTCAGTAGTGGTAAATAGCGCGAGTAATAACGGACTAGGCTGAAGAGCTTATAGTAATTCACAAAAAAAGGGTAACCAAAGCCAAGCAGCAGATGAAAGGAGGGGATGCCAAAGGAGCTGACGCATCGTTGTTGAAACACAAACTTCTGAGAAGCTTTCTTCTCTCGTCAGAACTGCAAGTTTTGCAGCCTCGGAGTTTGTGCAGCTCAGGGTGAAGCCAGGCAGGCGGGTCTGTGAGCCTGCGGCCAGCACAAGGCAGCCAATGTGGACCATGGCAGGAGTTAATGGTTCAGCCTGGAGAAGACTCCGGGATCACCTTATAGCAGCTTTCCAGTAGCTGAAGGGACCTACAAGGAAGCTGTAGAGTGACTTTTTACAAGAACACGTAGAGATAGGAGGAGGGGGAGTGGCTTCAAACTGGAAAAAGGTAGATTTAGATGAGATAGGAGGAAGAAATTCTTGACCATAAGGGTGGTGAGCCCCTGGGGCAGGTTGCCCCGAGAAGCTGTGGCTGCCCCATCCCTGGAGGGGTTCAAGGCCAGGTTGGACGGGGCTTGGAGCAACCTGGGCTGGTGGGAGGTGTCCCTGCCCAGGGCAGGGGGGTGGAATTTGGTGATCTTTAAGGTTCCTTCCAACCCAAACCGTTGTATGGTTCTAATGGGGTTGCCCTCAGGTTGGTGCCGCGTGTCCCTGGACTCTGCTCTTTGCTCACCTAATTCCTGGTGGGAACCTCTCTCTCCCGAATTCCTGGCCAGGTTCTGCTCTGCTGAAGCTCCCTGGGTCTCCAGCCGCTCCACGGTGTGGTGGAGGGGGCACCTTGGTAGGCGCCAATCCAAATAACTTCTCTATTTGGGAAAAGATGACTTGGCAAAATTCAACTCTCTCGTTAAAACCTGCCAGCGTCAGCAGAACGGAAAGAGGGGAAAAAAAAGTTTCCTGGCCAATTCACCCAACTTCTCACCAGATTGTTGGGCGAGCTCAAGGACCCAGAGCGGGTCACCCAAGCTGCGTTCCATTTGCACCAGAGGGTGACGTGGCAGCTGTCCTGACCCGAGCACAGGGTTGTTGCAGGAATTCAGTAAAACACTTAGATCTGAACCGATACAGATGGTTTTTCTTTCCCTGTCTAAGCTGCACAAACTGTCTCTGCCTTCTCCAGCTGTGTCACGATGTGGCACGTCGCTCTGGCTCCGGGCAACGTGGGAAAAATTCCCCCAGCCTTCAGCGTCTACAAAATACATCCTTCAGTCCTTCTCAGTGAACTCTTGAAATTCCTGTTTTGCGAGAGCCTTGAACAGCTTCCATTTTTGTTCATTAAAAGAGCAATTCCCTTCCAGGAGTTACTTCCCGGTTGGCTCTGCGACTGGATCTACAGAGACTCCACAAACCAACCGGCAAAAAACCCGGCAGCGTTTTGACTTCGTTAGCTGAAGTTTGGGCTTGTGTGCAAAGGGTAGAGATAGGCTCCGTGTAGGAGATGCGTCTCATGTTACCTGCTTCTGGAGTCCAGGTCTGGTACCCGCTCCAGTCACTCCACAATCCTCGCTCGGGGTGAATTTTACAGCTGACCTGAAACTCGTAGGCAGTGTGAGGCTCCAGACCGTAAAGACTGCATTTCTCACTGCTTAAGGTCTCAACCTTTAACAAAGATAAAGGACATATATTGTTAAGACATATAATAAAGACTGCGTTTCTCACTGCTGAAGGTCTCAACCTTTAACGAAGATTAAGGACATATAATGTTAAGACATATAATAAAGACTGCATTTCTCACTGCTGAAGGTCTCAACCTTTAACGGCGATAAAGGACATATAATGTTAAGCTCACGAGGAAATAAAGGTTGAAGGCAGTGAGAGGCTGAATTACTAATACCCAAAGCAAAGCCCAGCCAGCCAAAACACGTCTTTAAAAAACCAATGGGGAAACCCCTCATCTGAGGCAACTTTAATAACTCAAAGAACGATGCGATGAATCATCGGGCTTGCAGTCTTTCATCAGAAAAATCCCGCATTTAATTATGCGAAGACAACAAATTTTCTGTTCACGTGTTTTACTCGATTTCAGGCAACACATTGCTTTTACCACTTAAAATAAAAGCAAAGGTTTTCGATCAGCATTAGGGAAAGCACAACCGATTTGGAAATTGTGCGCCTGTAGCCGTGAGCTACAACGAGCAGATATGACCATATTCCAATAAACTGGCGGGTCAAGCACAACCTTCTTCAGTGCACCATACAGACACGAGACATACGATGAAATATTCACGCACACGCTTTTTTACAGGATCGGTGCTTTACCTTCGTTTAGTTTTAGGCCAATGATGGTTTTTGACCGGTAGGCAATAGCTTTCCTTAAGCGTGGTGTTAAAGAGCAGAGAAAGGCAAATTTGGACAAAGTGGTTCTAGTAAGAACTAACGCTATTGAGGCAACCTCCATGGATGGTAACGTCCTTTGGTCAGAAGAGGATTACCGTGCTCCAGGTGTGCCTGGCGAGGGGACGATATCTCAGCCTGCAGTGCTGCGCTTGTGCTTCAGCCTGCCGAAAAAAGGCGCAGCCGGTAGTGGAAGAATTTTCGAATTCCACCAGAAAGTTGGGAGGATGTGGTTTCACTAGCAGCAAACAAAAAAAAAAAAACAGAAAGAAGTGAAGAGCGCTCAGATACACAGCACAGCTCCGAACGGGGCGGGGTAGGGGATGGAGTGGAAAGTAGAATTACTGGGTTAGACTGGATGGATGCTTCTTCTCAGAGGTTTTAAACAAGAAAGTGCCCAAAATGTTTTCATGGCTTTCTCAAGGGCTGGGACTAACCAAAAGGTGGTAAGTCATGCATGTACCTATGTCTATTAACATGAACACGAGTGGTTGTGAAAAAGCACTTCCTAGCTCGTTGGAGGCAGCAACCACAAGGGTGTACGTAGAGTCGAAATTCAACTTGCTCAGAGCCAGCGAGCCAAACTCCGTATTCTGGCTTTCTTCTGAAACACATAAGACATCCATCCCATTTGATAGCCTGGAACAGAAGGAAAGTGCTTGGTTAATACTCTCCTGTACACCAAGAAAGCCAAACCCTGGGTGCGTCGGGGCACAGCTCGGGTCCCCGTACAGTTGTGCTGCTCCTGGTCCCTCGGGGCTCTTCCAGCAGCTCCCCTGAAGGTTGGCTTTCACGGGAGGACCACTGCGCTGAAAGCCAGGTAGGTCATCCGCTCCTTGAAAGAGCCGCTTAAATACGGTGGTTACAGTAAATACCCCTCTGGCCAAATCTGTAGCGAAGGTGTTTTACTGCTTTTTGGTTTTAATTGCAGACAAAGGAAATAGTTTCGGATTTCCATTGAGCTGCAAGTGTGTGAGTAGGTTCCTTTTAATAGCGTAATGATTACCTAATATTTCACTATGAATGAGCCTAGGTGTTGGCACACAGAATTTGGGGGGATGATGGATTTTTGGGGGGCTGGGATTGTTTTTTAACTAAGTCAGTGATTAAAGATGTAATTTTTCTGCAGTATCTGCAGAAGACGGCATGGCTTCAAACACAGCTTCTAATTCTCAATGTCATTCAACCCGTTGCCTTGGGTAAGTCATTTAGTTCCTCTGTGTATTTGCTTCCACCTGAACTAGAGATGTTTATATCATGTTGCTTCAGGCTGACCTTTTGTATTCCGTAATATACTTAATAACTTACTAGCAAGCACTGCTCTAGCTCTGTTACGACACTTGCAGGACTCGTTATCCACACTTCTCCACCCTTCTGCAAATTACCCATATATTCTCCTTCTGCTTAAAGAGCAGCAACAGGTTTCTACAAGCTGCTAAGTTGCTGCTACCTTGGCCAACAGAAGCAGGTGAAGAAGAAGGTGGAGAAGGTGGAGAAGAAGAAGAAGAAGGTGGAGAAGAAGAAGATGGTGAAGAAGAGTGAGCCTTGCAGGGTAAGGAGATGGTCAACATGCAGCACCTTGGAAACAAATGGGGACTACTTCAGCCTAACCCAGTGGTTTGCAAAGGGCAAAATTAATTCATTCTACCCCAATGTTTGCTTGAATAGAGGTTTTTAATAAGGTTCCTCCTATGCATGGTGATTCCCGAAATCACCAAGGTCTCCTAACGTGCCTTGACGGGCTCTAGGGAGCCTTTGCTCCTTCCCCACCCTTTGCTGCAGAAGTTGCCACGACCTTTTTCAGCGAAGGCTCAGCAAAAGCAGAACGAGCACAAATAGAGGCTGAGTCTAAAATGGGAAGCAAAAATAACACATGTCCAAGCAAAGTCCCTCTCCATCTCCTCAGCTAAATTCCAAGAGCTCAGATCACAGGATTGCTGGTGCAGGCACTGCCGACCACAGAATCACTAAATAGAGGAGATCCACCACAGGAAAGCAGCAGGTCATCTCTTGGCAGACCCTCTTTACCTGCTGAAATCTGAAGGAGCCAACCCACTGCGGTGCAGCACCCGCAGATGTGAGCAGAAAAGGGGTTTTAACCACTCTGATTGGCTTCTGTGGTCATGGAAGCCTTAGGCTGACTTATTCATAGAATCATAGGATTGTCTAGGTTGGAAGGGATCTTGAAGGTCATTGAGTCCAGCCATTGACCCAACACTGCTAACACCACCACTAACCCATGTCCCTCAGCACCACATCTGCCCATCTTTTAAATACCTCCAAGGGATGGTGAGTCCACCACTTCCCTGGGCAGCCTGTTCCAGTGCTTCACAACCCTTTCGGTGAAGAAATTTTTCCTAATATCCATCCTAAACCTCCCCTGGTGCAACCTGAGGCCATTTCCTCTTGTCCCATCGCCTGTTACTTGGCTGCTCATAAACCAATTCTTTAATGCGCTTTGGTAAGGTAAATATTCAATAAACGGTGTAAAAATACAAAAATTCTAAGACGCGTTCTTTCGTGCACTTTGATAAGGGTAAATATTCAATAAACAGTGTAAAAATACAAAAATTCTAAGACGCGTTGATATGTATTAAGGAACCTATGCCCCTGCATTACTCACTGTATCACGTATGTAGTGCTGATGTAGGTGGGCCTTCCTTTTTCCCAGGTGCAGTTGGGATGGCCGTCTGTCCCGTACTGGATACACGACACGTTTCTTGGCTCATCTGGAGGATCTTAAACAGATACTCTTATCAATTTCTTCCTTAAAGATGTTGATAGGAGACATTTTAAGAAAGTTTGATGTTTTGATTGGTTTGGGTTTGTTAACGAATTTCTAGGCGACATATTCGGGCTAATAATTTTAATGTGGGAAAATAGCAGTCAGTGATCTCTGACACTTGAGCAAGCCCCAGTGACTTTGAAGGGTGCCAGATGAATACAAGCGCTTAACAGCTCTCCAGACCGAGCACCGCAAGCTTCTCTTGAAGCAATCAACCATTATTCTTTTATATATATATATATTTATGTAAAGGCAGACGACTGCTGCAGCAGCATCAGCTCCTCAGGCTCGAAGAAAATCTACAATTTAGGATTTTTCTTGCAAGTCCCCTGTGTCCTGGGGAGACTGGCGGGTGTCAGGGGCAGAACAGAGAGGCGCAGTCCCAGCCAGAGATATTTTAAATACAAAGAGCCACTAAAAGACTGCACCTTTTCCAGAAAAGGCCACCCACTGCTAGTTGCTAACGCGCATCCCAGAGGTACCACAGGAAATGCTGAAGAACAAGGAATAATTAAATTCTCCTTACTTCCAGACTCTATCTCGATTCCACAAATGAGTGTTTTCCTGTGTTCACAAACTATTTTGCACGTAAATACGTGTTTGCCGTACGTATGGATTAGAAACTTGGTGCTTACTGCACTGCTGTAATTGCTAATTAGTTCCGAGCTGTTAAAGAAAATAGCAATCCTGCACTGGTTGGTGGGTTTCCGGGGCTTCAGTCGGCAGGAGAGGGTGACATCGGTTCCAGGCTGGACAGGAGAAGCAGTGTTAGCGGTCATGTTCCCTTTGTCACATATTTCTGTGGTGCCATGGGGAACTTTGCTGGCCGTCACGTTCCCCTTGCTGCACGCGTCTGCAAGAGAGTGGGAAAACCTTTAACACGGACACATCACGTTGTACAACACGCTGCGCTCGAGGAAAAGAGTCTCCCCGAGTCCCTCACGCAAGGATTGCTGCCTCCCCATGGCAACTCATGGGCTGTTGCTGTGCCCAGCCTTCACCAAACCGGTTAACCGGGGTCAGAAACCAAGGGTTGGCGACCGGGCATGGTACAAAAAAAGCACAACCTCAGGGATGACCTATCAGAACTCTGTTTTCATTGTGGTTTAAGGAGATAGCAGTGTTTCAGCAAAGCAGTGGCAGGCATGTCTCCGCTGAAGAGACAGGCAGGATTTTCCCTGACTTGCAGAGACCTCCCCGTGCACGTTATTGTCTTTTCAAAGTGGCACAGGACAGGCGGGGACAGGCGATCCTGCCCTCAGCGTGGGAGAGCACGCGCTTGCTGGCAGCATCCCGGACACTCGTGCGCTGGGCAAAGGAGCCGAGCGGCAGCAGAAGACACGGGGAAAATGATGGAGCACCATTTCCGCTTGCTTGTAAGTTCCGACAAGTGGAAGCTAACTGTAGAGGTGTTTTCTCATGTGTCATAGAATTGTAGAAAGGTTTGGGTTGGAAGGAACCTTAAAGCTCATCGAGTGCCACCCCCTGCCCTGGGCAGGGCCACCTCCCCCCAGCCCAGGTTGCTCCAAGCCCCGTCCAACCTGGCCTTGAACACCTCCAGGGATGGGGCAGCCACAGCTTCTCGGGGCAACCTGCCCCAGGGGATCACCACCC